GGTTCGCTACTAGGAACAAGTGCATCGCTTCTAGTAACAAGTGCCTTTTTACTAGTAGTAAGGCACTTGTTCCTAGTAGCGATGCACTTGTTACTAGAAACAAAAGTGGGTGCGGTTTGAGTTCGGATGCCTTGACTACGCCGGCCAAGAGCTTTGATAGGGGAGCAGAGCTGGAGTTAGGTCTTGGGCAAAAACCCAGAAGCAGAGTCGTTGCTGCTCCCAAAGAAAACTTGTTACTAGTAGTATCTAGTAGTAGTGGCCTCCTTCTAGTGGCGATGTCCTCCAACCTAAGAGCGATGAGCAGAGCAGAGCTTCAAGTGAGTGTTTTGGTCTCAGGAAGTACAGCTACTTCCCTCGAGAAGTGACCGACAGTGTCTCTCGGCGGGAGTGCATGGCATTGTGTCGGCATTCCATGGCCTGACAGCAGGGATGTTCTGCATGGATGGTGGGTTATACATTCGAAGTTGACGTCGATTTTGACGATTCTTTCTTTAGAAATGAAGTTTCATTCTTTCAGTTTAGTTTCCGTGAGAAGCTGACTTGCTCTGAGGACATCAACTGGTTGACTGGTCTCAATGAGCCACCTCAGGATGTCTTGGACTTGTTAGAGTTCTTCCTCAGTAGAGCTCCTTTGTCTGAAAAAGCAAACAAGGAGAAGTGCTTTCAAAAAGGGTAGGAGCAATATTTTGTGGAAACTCACTTGTCAAAACGTTGATCTTTGTAAAGGTAGCAGGTGGTCAAGTGGTGCGAAACCCTCAAACCTTTTTGTCCAGGCAGTTTCTACAGTGAGTGGCCTGTAAAGTGCCAAGGTGAAGACCATGGATGAGGCCTTCAACATCATTGATGGCGGTGAGCCAGGAAGCACCTCCAACTCCGAGATCCTCAGATCAATTGACTTTCACCCTGGGTCGTCAATGTTTGTTCTTGATTCAATATGAAAAAGCAAGACACAAGTTCTTTGTTTAGGGTCTAATGGTCCAAAGAACAGCAAGGCGCTACTAGGAGCAAGGACGCTAGTAGTAATGCCCTCATTACTAGTAGCCATGCCCTTGTTACTACTACCAAGGACGCTACTAGTAGCTCCTGGCTCCAATATTACATACTTTCACCCAGGCTGACGCTGCGAGAGTTTGAGAACGGTCTCCGATCGATGGGCTGCCGAAGCCCCAGAGGGTTTTGCTTTGAGCGAGTTCGTTGAGGGACGTTTTGCTTTGAGACTCTTGCAGAATGCCCTTTGCTCCGAGTAGCGATGCCAGGAGCACCTAGTAGCTTCTTGTTCCTGAATGCTGATTTTTGGGGGGGTGCACATTCCAGTTTCCCTGACTATACCTCTCAACAAATCAGAAGCAGATTCTCCATTAGGGGATACACCATGCTACACTGCTTTTGTGAGATATCAGCCGGGTAACTCTTGTTACTAGTAGCGATGCACTTGTTACTAGTAGTAAGGCACTTGTTACTACTAGCTTCTTGTTACTACTAGTAAGGCACTTGTTACTAATAGCTTCTT